GCATTTTTTTTAGAACATATAACATAATACTTTAGCACTTGGCCTAAACTAAAATGATCTCAAACGATGCTTCAATGAAATTATACTCTTTTAAAATTAAATAAGCAGTTCTTGAAAGCGGCTGTAACGATTTAGGTCAAATTTTGTGTTTAAATAAAGCATTTATGTTTTCATTTATCTATGGAGGCGTCGTTCCAAAACAAAACTATAATTTTTCATTATGAACAACAATTTCATATGGCGCGATCTCATGATTTGTTGAAATGGTCAGATAATTTTTAGGTACTTGCATTATTGCAATTGGATATTAATCCGGTACGTCAAAACCGTAAAGATGGTCCTTATATTACATTGTATTAAAACAAATACCGCCTATCGAGTAAAGTTACTAAAAACACACTATTTAAGAGGAAGAAAACATCGTTGGGAAGCCGTTCATCTAAGTACTAAGATTTAAATACTTAAATCTCTCGTGAGTATTTTTATCACAAAAAAATACGGCCGATTCAAGCAATTAGTCTCTCATGACAGGAACAAATTATATTATAAACGTCTTCGTCATGATCAGATTGGGAGAGTGTACGGCTGCTGTCAACTTTACTTCTTTTTTTCGATACAATTGAAAACCCCTTTAAAAGTTTAATTTCCCGACTGAGAATATTAAGCCGCCGCAGTTAAGGTCCGTTAATTCCGATTTATAGTAAAGTTAATTCCGATTTATACGTGACACCGTTTCTTATAATCGAACCGGGGGAAAAAATCGAAAATGCTTTGGCTAAAGCTCATTAAATCGGCTTTTGTTTTTGGTATTCTGATGATAGAATATCTTTTTGATATTTATCTAGAAAATATAATTAAAGTTAAGATGGTAATAATACCACGTGCTATAAGTTTTAGTTGTTTTTTTACATAAGCGTAAAGTTCAAAAGGAAGAATTTTAAACAAGGAAAAAATAAGATTTACTCCTACTATGGTGTACACGAGCAGCGTAGAGTAATGATCTTAGTCTTATCGTTAGATATCACTGGTAACCTATATAGGGTAGTAATAGTACCGCATAATATATAGTATAAAAATAGACAGGGTATAGAAACGAACTGTTTAATCAACTCGAAAAAAATGGAACATGCCTTAGCTAACGGTCATAAACCGGCTTTTTCTATCTTCTGAGGTAGAGTCTATTTTACTATTTAACTAGAAAATATAATTAATAGTAAGATGGTAACAATAATAATTATGTGCTGGTGGAAATTTTCAGTTTTGTTTTTCTGCGCGAGCGAAAATTTCGAAACCAATCGCATGATGATGCAAATCTTTCAGAATCTTGGTGCTTCTCTATAACATAGGATTGCGTTAATCTATAATGGAAGTGAAACGTATTTTGGGGCGTGTGTCCCTGCACGCGGTGGGAACCGCTTAACCCCACGTAAACCCTACCCGCTTATCGCCGTACTCTTTTATAAGAAAATACGTATTCAAAAGAAAAATAATGAAACAAAGCACCAAGAAATATAGCAACATTGAGTCGCAACATTAGGGTATACATTATGCATTATGGGTATAGTTTGGAAACAGTTGCATTGACCAATCAATCAATCCAGAGGATGGTCACTGCTCGCTGTCAGGGCGACGTTCGTGTAAGGATTTATTGCGTCCCAAATGCGTGTACTAAGACAACCATATATATTTTCCGTTATGTAATTATATAGTTCTTTCGCCGTATCCATTCATATATGTATATCTTTCTTATTGTGCCTCTCCGACTACTGATGGTTGCAATCAGTTCAGCGTAATAGTTATAGCTCGGTAACATCTGTTCCGCCTCGCAAGAGAAAATGAAATATCATCATCGATAATGATGGTAAGTATATCGGTTCTTTTGCTACATTACCGGTATCATAGAAATAATTCGTTACGTTCTCGACTCGTTTCTAGTTATAAAACAAAACAAAAGATCAAAACATCTTTTAGATCGGTTCCTTTTGAATTTTCACTTATCTCTATGCATCGTTCAAGCTCCGTCTCGCTGATGTAAACTAAATACGATTCATGTTTTGAAACGTCGCGGTTGTTCAGTTGTAATTGTGGTTCAACGACCCGGTACAGCCCTAAAAAGAGTTGCTCGCACCCGCCGACCGTGTTATAATCTACATGCTGTCATACAGAGTTTCGGGAAAAGCGGGGATTCGATGCCGTACTTCGCACGTTTGTTACATTAACCTAAATCCGTGATATGAATGTTAGTAAATTCGGGAAACGGTCGGTTCTCCGTGAGCCAAAGCAAACAAACAATATCGATCGAAAAACGTGACTGTATTGATTGGACAGTGATAATTTTTTTTTCAGCCCCGAGCTGAACCAAAATGGATACTAAACCGTCAGTCACCTCAAGAATTATGTCGATTTCGCTGGTACGAAAAATAGTAACAAACCGTAATGAATATATCGCAGATGAGGAGCACTAAAACTGATATCTTGACGCCCCTGCACTAAAGAAATATACGCAACTAACTTCTTCGGAGATTGTGAATAAGCCTTTTCTCAAAGCTTAAGCCAACATTTACACATCATCTTCACTTCCCATAGAAGTCGTGCATTAACTATGAAACAACTAAACAAATGAGAAAGATCTCATCTGATCGAGACAATCTTATTGTGAATTTCTAAAACATGTGAAATATGAAAGTAATAATTTATAACTAAGTAATATCAATGTCCGTGAAATAATATTAATAATAATATAAGATTATCATTTTTTGATATTCAGATTGACAATTTTAATGTCTTTACATCTTTGTAACTTATTAAACTTTACTTACCATCTTATAAGGTTTGCATTTGAGATTATATTAGGTAATTTTTCATGTCCTTAGCGTATATTAATATCACTGTATTAAGGAATGGATAATAGAACGCCATTCATCTACCTTGGTACTAGGTAAGTAGAAAAAAGTGGCGGGATTTTCAACGGTGCAAAATGTATGTCATAAAAAGGGCTTACAATAATCGCTCGCAGGGAGTGAGATTGCGGGCTTTCGTTGTAATCCCTCGTTTTAATTAATTCTAACCGTAATATACGCGTATGAAATTTCAAATAATTGTTTGAAGTTACGTGGTTGATGCCTGATTTACACGGACCTCTATAAAAACGTCTAAAAAGAAGCATTGTTTTTTTTTTGATACGAGACGAATGTTTTGGTTAATCAAACAACACAAATTAGTCGTTACCCAGATCATCGTATCTACGTTACTTCCTTAATTTAACTACATGTCAAAAGTAAAAAAAAAAAGATTCTAACATGCTAGTACCAAAGTAATTGAAGTTACAAACATTCGCCACCGGCCACGTTTTGATACGATTCGTAATAAAATTTAACTCGGCAGGACTTTAATGAATTAAAAAAACCAGTTCAGTTTAAAATATACCAATAGAATATACAGTTAAAATTGCAACCTTAATAAACTTAAAAAATACACTTCGAAACTTGTTTTGACTTTACAAAAACATGTACAGGTACGTACGTATAGATTCATGTGTATTGCCTGTTTCAGGATTGGATTAGAATCTATCTCGATATAACCTCAGCGTTTCGACTCAAGTCGTACTGTGGTTTGACGCTGGTGCATAATTTCGTGGCATCGATACGGACTATTTGCGGTGTGCCTTGCGCTGCGAATTTCAAAGATATTATGATCGTTAGCTAAAGCACGTTCCATTTTATCCGAGTCGATTAAACAGTTTACGATCGGTAAAGGGATGGCTCAACGCCATCATAAGGTTAATTTATCGGGACTCTTTGTTAAGTAAATGGGCAACTGTATCGAAGCGTGGTCTTGATGACTCCGAGGCGCAGTGGCCAAGGTATTGGCTTCGGCGTCGGGGACCGTGGGTTCGATTCCCACGCGAGACAACTAATTGTGAGATAGTTGTTTCGCATCTGGGTGTGTGGCCACGTGAAATTTATGTGTGTAAAACGTCTCTACGGCAAAGGATAATGTTATCCTAAAGTAAGGGCAATGTTTTAAATAAAAATAACCATCATCTGATACTTACAATGGCCCCACCAGTTAGATTATTAATTCAGAGATATATATCGAGATACCGCTCATCGTAAGCCGATCAACATTTTAGCACTGCCGCAGCTGTCTTACTTTGTAAGAAAGAGGACCTATTCATTTCTGAACGGTCGTCTCGTCATGTCTGCACCGCACCTCCTTTGGCGTTGCAAGTTTCCATAAACGGCTGCACAATCACTTGCTGCATCTATCCAACGAATACGAAGCCCGTCTCGCGGTTTAGTTCTCCATACGCGGCGGTTATCGCTTAACACACGACAGGAGAACCGCCCGCGCGCTTGCCAGCTTTTCGCATAAAAAGAAAATAAAAGGTGCTTAGGATTCCTCAGCGCCCATAAAAAATATTTTTTTTTATATAAATATACCCGCCTTCGAGGAATCAAAGGCCAAACTGAAACTAGACTCCCGCGAGCCCACTTCCTGGAGCCCATGGATAGCATGACAGAGTCCGGGTTTAAACTGAATAGTTCAGAAATTTAAAGTCATTAAAATATAGGCTACAATCAATTAAAATTTTAACGCCACGTAAAAAAAGCAATCAAATATTCTATAGTATAAATATCGGATTGTATTGATATTATTATAATTAGCATATAAACGGGGCTCTCAAATCGACTCTACTATCACATCGGGGCACAGTGAACACCGCACAATATTTCGTTTGTTTAAAACGACACGAAACGTAATGCAACTAACTTGATCACATATCATACGAGCACGTGACCTGCAACCGGTCAAACCACTCGCATGAGATCTTGACCCACATCTCGCCATATAGAACCTATTCGTTCTGCTGGACCAGTGTAGCACCGATAAGTCTATCGATAACTTATAACTGTATCCGCTTGCTTTCGCGGCCCCTACCACGCAAGACGCACTCGAAACTGTTTGCGTTATCCGTGGGGCTATTTCGAGACATCATGATGTCGCACGAACGCGATTTGATGCTGGAGTGGAGTTCTGATAAAGTTCGCCGTACAGTGGGCCGCACTGCGCCGCGTCTATTTCGGACGCGGGATCGTGGGGTATCGCTTCGTGAAGAAAACGAAATGGTGAATCACGCGGGGAATTTCGTCCCCGCAAATTTAGACGGTGACGATGACGCGTCCCGTGATTTACTTGTTTGTCTCCTCGCGACGTTGCAAGGGGCGCGCGGCCGGCCCGCGATTTAGTTGGATTTAAAAACCGGCCAAGTGCCACTCTGACTCGCGAAGAGTTCCGTACCATCTATATAACGGGAGAAAATCACATCCGTTGTATGGGAGCCCCACTTAAATAATTTTTATTCTATTTCTTAGTATGTATTTGTTGTTATAGCGGAAACAGGGACACATCGTCTGTGAAAATTTCAAGTGTCTAACTATCATGATTCATGATGCACAGCCTGATGACAGACAGACAGCGGAGTCTTAGTAATAGGGTCCCGTTTTACCCTTTGGGTATAGAACCCTAAATAACAAATATGTGCGTGCTCATGGACGCACGTAAGAAGTTCCACTTTTTTAGCGTAACAAAAGAAAAATAACTAAAAATATAGACCCCATGCGCCAGTCCTCTTTGCTTGTGAAAAATACATTACTGATAACGATGTAGTTAACTTGGAATTATAGGTATATTTCAAAAAGTCGTTATTGGCCGCTACTGTAACACCGTGAGGTTGGTCGCTGTGCAACCGACATAATCGTGTCGCTTTTTGGCTGCCGTTGTACGCGCGCATACCTGAAAACTCTGCCCTCACATTTTTCCCGAACGCGCCAAAAGCATTGTAGCTTCGAAAACACGGCTGAAGTGTCGGACGCGTATTGCGCCCCTGTGACCGACTTGGAATGATCGCCCAGTGTCACGTACACGCTCGCGCTCCGTATTTATACGGAGCAAAGATAAAAATAAAAATAATAGATTTAAAAAATTAAAAACCGACTTCAAACCGGAAACTAAAAAATATTGTTAAAGTGGAGTGTCCTCAATTTCTCTTTGATGCCATCATCAGATCCGGGTTTCCTTATCATGGTACCACACTTGGGATATCTCCTTTCCAACAAAAAAAGTATCATCAAGATCGATTCATAAACGACGAAGTTATCCGCGAACACACATAAAAAAAAATATACGTTCGAATTGAGAAACCTCCTTCTTTTTTAAGTCTGTTAAAAATTAACTAAATCAGACATATATAAATAATTTATACTTAAATATTTCAGGTCTTTATTAAAAAAAATGGAATCGGAAGCAAAATTGCCACCTTGGTGATTTTGACCTATAAACTTTCCTATCGAGTTTTAGAGCAACGAACGTTAATCGTTCTAATGTCTTTTATACTTTTATATCGGTCGGGTATCAAAACAAAACAGCTATCATCGGAGTGAACGTTTTTTTAAACAGGAAATAAGTATCTTATCCATAAACAAGACATATCATATTTCTATATTTTAAATGTTTGTTCTAGTCTGCACTTAAAATGATAGAGATATTGAAACTATCGCAAAATTTCTCCAGACGCTCTAACCACTGTACTAATGGGTGAACATCCTCACCGCGCGATAATCCGTCATGTGTACAGCTTGGCATAAGCCCCTTCCAATTTCGACTGCGGTACGGCCACGAATTGAAAGGTCCGTCAGGTAAAAACCACGATCTAATAGAAGGCTGAAGATGTGAAGTGGAAGTGTTCTGTTTCTGCGTGTCGTCTGGTGAGTGAGGTAGCCGGGGCCCATTTTTTTTAAAGGTGAGAACTGCAGCACTACGGATGCTGCGAATTTAAATGGGCGGTTATCGCTTAACATCAGTTGAACCGCCTGCTCGTTTGCCGTCTTCTCACATAGAAAAGATGTTTCTTGTCACCAGGCCTACGCTCTTGCGGCGGCTTGCTTTGTATGTTGCGAAGAACCGTAGCTAGTGCTAAAAAAATATGACCACACAATAATTCGACAATTTTATTTCCATCGCGTAGACTAGCAGTACTAATTATAAAAAAAAAACAATCATAAATTTCATTAGCCTATAACCGTTAAGCTTCTAAAGGTCCGTAGTAATCGACAACCAAAGTAATATATTGATTAGGAAACTATATTGATTTATTATTTTAGTTTGTTTTCGTGAAACTTATCAGAGTAATTATTGGTTGCGGTGCGATGTATATTTACCGCCCGAGGCGCCACGCAAAGCTTACTGCTGTGGCAATGCTCCCGAACCGTGGTATTTATAACTCGGCCAAACATTGATGTTTGGCATAAGTGTCCGACCTTACACGCTGGTTAATGAGCACTTAATAATATTATAAATACACCCGCTTCTGAATTCACATCTAAGACGTGACGTGAATAGAAGAGCCGTGATAGCTCAGTGTCCGGGCGCTCGCCTTTAATTCAATCTACTCGAGCGACCTGAGTTCAATCCCCGGTGCCAGCAACATTTGTCGCGGTACTTAAGTACGTCGGTTCCACCGACGGAGGTCCCGCCAAATAACAGGACACAAACAATTAGTGCATCAACAAACACCATAGTTCGTCCTCGCCTTCGAGGACGCCGAAACCAACACAACGCGTACACTAGGTACACCCGCGTTCCAGGGCGGTTCTCACCGCCCCCAGCCACCGACTAACCAAGCACAGTCAACGGCCATCGGGGTCACGGTATGCGACATGCCATAATGTCGCATGCACGCATGAGTACATGCGCGGCTCTACCCACTGAGGAGGGCCTCAAACCCGTGGGTTCAAGGACTGAAAGCGTAACATCAGTTATACAAAAAAAAACCATTTGTCGCTTGGTCGAACTTTCGCTTTGCAACCAACTGCATCGTGTCGCCTTTTGGCCGACGGTGTGTGCGCGCATCGTAAAAAAATCACTCTCATAATTTGTTACAAACGCGTCAAAACAATTATAACTTGTAACTAGCTGAACCGGCAAACGTTGTTTTGCCATATAATTTATTTCTAGGGTATTTATGAATCTGAACACGGAATCAATCATAAATTTTCGGAACGCACGCAAAAATTGTTGGACAGGTAGGAACAGTTCATATGGGAAGAAAAAATTGTTGCTATTTCGATTTTCCGTGCAACTTTTTCGTAATTTCCCATCGTCTAAACCTTTCCTATGCTGCCACGAGTATTTCCAAACCAAACTTAGGCAAATCGGTCCAGCCGTTCTCGAGTTTTAGCGAGACTAACGAATAGAAATTAATTTTTATATATATAGAAGATAATTGGAATGGTTTCAGGCCGAACACATCCGTCAAGAGATTGCATCGTAAGCGATCGCTGAAGTAACAGCATTAAGATTAACATTATAAGCGCAATGACGACCACGTAAACCTTCATATGTCGAGGGAGTCATACGCACAAAGCGTGTACATAAGCGTCCGACTTCAAACGCGATACGATGCCAAGTCGCGGGCAATCGAACCACTACCGTTTCATGCGACAATACAATGTTGTTTATAAGACGTTGAGACTGTCGTCGGTGTGGCTTTCAGCCGTTTAGTTTAGGGTTCGATTCCCACAGCTCTTTTCTACAAATTAGAGAGAATTCTACTTCGATGAAAGTTTCATATAGCAATGGTGACAACTCTCTATCGGATTATCGTTGTAAAACGATATTAGAATGGTTTTTATTCTATAAAGGAGACAACAAAAGACACGCGAAGAAACGGTGTGAGTTCGATTCTTAATTTTTTTTTTCCACAGATCTTATTATATAATCGGTTCATGGATTAGCACTATGAGAGTTCAAACACAATCGTTCGGTTTAGCGAAAAACGTCCAATCCGATGCGAACGGCGGCAGTTGAAGGCGTCAGGCGACACACACGCGCCCTCGTAAATCACTCGTACACAAATAAAAGCTCCAGCCTGGCGTGCATCTATCCAGCCGCGAATATCCGGCACACGGCCGCCTAGTTGGCGTGCCGCTCACGTACCGCAACCGCGCCGTAGCGGCGTCGCTCCCGTGCCGCGTGTTGGCTGACGCCATCTCGCTAACACGATGCGCCCCCACTCGAGCAATTACTCCTGGTCCGCCCTCCCAATGGATGTATCGTAGCCCCTTGGTTGCATCACGCTCGTCTATACAATAGGGAAAAGATTCTTTCAAACGTAGCACGCCACGCGTACGCATTGAGATAGAAAAATGGCATTATTTCAAAGTTAAGGCGCCAAAAGTAACGCCCTCTGCCGGAAGTATCGTTGTGCGCCTACCTTCCGCTTTGTTTCGGACGCGTAACATTGTAACGTCGCAATATCTTTAAGTGCAGCGGTAACCTCGTATGGTACTGCGCCGCCGCGCGGTTGCACCTGTTTACGATGTCGTTGTAAATTCTAAGGCATTAGCCAAATGGGGCATTTAGAATAGTTTCATTCTGAGTATATAAAAGATTCGAAGACTTTACGAGTTTACATGTGCACTACGAATAACTTCATTGCAATGTGCCACGAATACTCTTGATGTAATATTTTATTGTGCAAATTGACAAATTTACAATATTACATATCGCCGTCACGTTAGTTACAACCGACTGCGCTCTTTTAACAACACCACCTGGTGCCTGATGGTTTCGCTCGAGGCAGCGGAGCAGGAGCCGGGTGTTCCGACTGATCAACCGTAATGTCACGTTGCGGGCAACTTTCGTCGGACCAGAAAACTTTGCGTTGAACGTGACAGCAATTTGAATGTGTATTGGATGCGTTGGACGTCGGCTCGGGGTAAGCACACCAGCGGCGTTATTATCGCGGTGCAATTGTCGGCGGCGCGCTAATGCGGCGTGGGCGTGACGCGCGTGACGGACGTACGGACGGACCGACGCGCTTTTTATGTGTCGGGAGTGGCACGAGGCCGCCCGCCGGCGTTGGCTCCGCTCCTGGCGGGTCTAGACGCGGGCCAACATTGTCACGTATGCCGGATCATTTCCCCGTTGTCAATTTATTTTAATACGGTGTGACTGTTCAGAAGTAGCATGATCAAGTGAACGTGTTTATAGTGATATGGAAGCATATTCGCTGTTCATGCGGCGCGATATGCAAACAGCAGTGATAAGCTAAAGATACACAATACATGTCGAATTGTTTTATAGTTGACACGTGGTTTTGTTTCCAATTTTGAAATACCCACCATATTGTTGACAATGTCTGCTATAATGTGTCCTTGCTTATTTTGATATGTGAACAACTCAGTAACACGTGCTTTCTTTAATAATTGCAACAATATCCCAATTCTATACCATACACAATCGTGCAGTAACCGTTCTGTCCTTTTTTAAACTCACGCAGTGCATTTTAGTTTTTTAATCCTTATAACAATAGTGAATAAATCTCCGAATATCCTGCAATGAACAATTGCCCGATCACACTACTGCAGAATGAAATATTTTTTTTTTTTCAAATGTAATCTTCAAATAGACGCTTGCGCATTATTATCGAACTTCGAATTTTCCATAAAAAAAATAATATATAAGTTCGTAACGTACCACCGCGGTTCGGAAAGCAGTTTCTGTTGTAAAGAGACCGGCAAGAGACCAAACAGGTGAACGTAAATATACATGGAAGCATTTTTGTCGCTCCAAAATTACACAACAAAAACGATACCGCGACGGCGCGGGGCTTATAAACCGTACCACGAGGCGGTTTTAGGGATGTAGACGAACTAACAAATAAGTTCATTTTGTTTGACGGCGCGTGATAACTTCAGCGGGATTTGTGCTGCTATTTATGAACAAGCACTTGGATGAATTTGCGGCTTCCATGTTTTATTAGCGTTCACTGCAAAAATATCAGTTTACAATGCAACATGGTACAGGTATGACAGTCTTATTTTAGCCCACGTTATTATCGACGGAATAAATGGTTCGGATAGTATTTATTTATTTATTTATTGCACATCCATTAAGTAACAAAAAGGTGTTAGGGTAATGAGTAAAATAGTTCTTTATGGACCCTGTTTATAGGGCATAGTACAAAACAAATCATAAATTCGGAGAGAGCAAGATGTATCACTTAGGTAATTTAATGGGGTACTTGTATATGTAGTATTTTGAGAGGCTATTTATTTTTATAGATAACATTTATTAGTTTTAATTTATATATTAATTATGAGTAATTTGTTTAATATATTTATAATGTGAGATCATTATGTGTTATTTATATCTATAATATGCAAGGTATCTCCAAAATATTCTTTTATGTCATAATATGACTTGGTAAGTAACAATTCTTTTAATTTTTTAGGAAAGTTTTATCGTTTTTTTCGTCTTTTAATATTTGCTATATAATTTATGGATATTTTTATTCTTGTAGGATCTTTTTTTCACTTTATAGATTTGTTTAATTTTTTGGAGGTTTATTTTAATTTTTATGCTTGTTCCTTTATGGCCTGAGAACCCTAAATCCTCTACTGTAGTTAAGGAGTATATATCATAAAAGTTTGTAAATATGAGATCTAAACATGAGAGATGGTGTGTACGTTCCTTTATGTGTTGAGTAAGATTGTGTTCTAGCATAAGGTTTATAAATTTGTTTGCTTCTACACTGTTATTTTAAACGTCTATATTAAAATCTCCACCTAATATTATATTTAGTTTTGAATATTTATTTGTGATAAAGTTTAAAATAAGTTTTAGTTGTTTAAAAAATACGTCTTTCTCTCTTCCGTTCCAATACATTACTACTAATAGAATATTTTCATTTGGTAGTTCAGTTGCACACACTTCTAGGACGTATTCGATCGACATATTCGTAATATCGCTTCTGTCTATACACTTAATTTGTTCCTGTAGCAGTATACAGACACCGCCAACTCTTCGATCTTTTCTGCAAAACGATGATGCTACTCGGTATTTATTTATGTTTATAAGATCCAGTTTTTAAACGACATCGCCATCGATGCGGCGGTAATTAATGCACGAGCACGACCCTCGGTACGCTTTAACAGGGAGCAACCGGTGCACAAACATTGCATTAATGTAGAGTAGCACTCAGTTGCAAGTTGAACTATCTCATACACGTGCCATACCACGGACGGGTTCAACTGACCACCTTCTATACACTTCTTCTCTCAACCGTACAACATGCGTTGCATGTGATTATGATTTTAGTACGTCTCTCTTTAAATGCGCAAAAAGGTAGTGGACTGAATATTAAAACGACGGACGTCACGTAGATATTGATGAGTGGTAGAGATACTAAGAACAGAATTTGCGGTAGCAAACAGTTTAGTCAGATGAAAAGATTTATGGAATTTTTATGTGGCCAGACCGTGGGGTCTCAAACGTTCCGTTTAACGGGTTATAGGAATAAATTTGTAATTAAAATAGTTTTCAGAAACAAAGAGAATTAAATTTATCTAACAATGACAGTTGTTGGGAAGTCGATTCCAGTAGACGTTTTTAATAAAGTTTAGGTCAAATTTAAATTAATAAACCAACACACACTTAAAATACTTACAATATATTAGTAGAATCTATTGTTGGAGCGTTCGTACACAAATGAATAATAAACCGTACACTAATGAATACCATAATTGCTAGAATGCCAATTAGAAATACTTTCTTAGCTGAATTAAATAGATCAATATAAAAAGCCACCGCCAGACGTTATGAAACCTTGGGTATAGTCCTAAACCAATTCTGGAGGACTGGCATTATGGAACATCCAAGCCACCTCAACATTTCAACATCGCGGTATTTACTTACGAACGGCATGCTTTAAGACACTCCAGTCAGGCGTATTAAAGTTTTCTGACCGCTGTACTGGCCCGCTGCATTCCGGCTTTATTGCCGCGAGAAATTTATGTGGGCCAAGTTAATAGCTCGCGTTCCTTCCGTTGGCGGCGGTGATCTATGAAATAACTCGCCTGTCCGCCCCCTCTTCACGTATGTCGGGCTTGAAACGGAGGGGGGGGGGGGGCGGAGGCTTTAGGAAAACATTTACGAGATGCTTCTCCCTCCACTGCAAAGTCAACAAACGCACGTGACGTCCTCACAGCCAGAGGCCATCGAATGAAGGACCCGCAAATAATATATCGTCAAAATATATACTTTCATATATCGTCGCAGTGACATCACAAAACTTTGTGGCAACATTCTATTTTAGTCAAATGGTATTTATTGTAACGTATACGCTGTGTTAACGTAATTGTAAGTAAAAATGTTAAGTAACAGCGTATACATATCCCACCGCCTGAACAAAGGCCTTTGTACAGAGGTTATTAGGCCATAGTCCACCACCATATTCAGAGACTATGCGGATTGGCGGACTTGACATATCTTCGAAATATATCTAATTTCTGACTGGTAATTTTCTGCTCTTACCACCAAAGAGCTGGGATGATTTTCCCTCTCAAAGAACCGTTTTGTTACATATTTATATTATAGGAGTCTGTAGTCGCTATGATGCTTCTGTTGAACCAGCGAGCGCAATTACCATTTGTTACATATGCACGATATATCTAGGTTTTATTTTTCAGATGTACTATGATTATGCAATACACAGGCCATATACAAAAGGTGTCTCAAGGGCATTGGCTCGAGAAATTGGCTGGCAATGAAGGAAGGCGGCGAGAAATTTTTAAAGGTTTCAATGTGAGTTCGGCACGTTGTGTCGGCGTCGAAAGTGACCACAAGACATTTGACCATCTCCTCCCAAGGGATTTGTAGTAACTCCCTTCTGTAATATATAACTAACTCCAATGTGCGCATAGCCTTACGTCGAGCGTACTCGACGCCGCTCGTTGCTGTCTGGAAAATCAATTCATTTCGAGTCGCGGGAACCTTGAATCTTACAGATTGTTCCTCAGCATCGCCTATTATTTACGTACGCAGAGCCGCACGTGCCCGCAAACTATTCAAGCGACCAAAGGATGCCATATTGCTCTTTATCACCGAAGAATAGAGGCAGTTTTTGCTCACCGCGAACTCGGGCCATTGTTTGTGTAACAGCGTGTTGTAAAACACTTAAACGTACGGTACGTTTTGTTGTTACTGATGAATAACAAGTTGGGTGAGACGCAAACAGAGGAGCTAATTTCGCGGTGGCTTTTATCCGGGACTCCTGTTAATTGACGTTGTACTACAGGCAGTGACGGACTGCTTATAGTGACAACACGTTACAAAAATGCGCGTTACGGAACAGGCACTTATTTTTACTAGTAGTCGCCCAGTTGTAGCAATTCGATCATAATTAATTATACATGGTAATTATTATACATGTTTTTTTTATTGATTTAATTATTTTATATGCTAAATTTAAGAAAATATATGGGCATTCTGCACTCCTTCTCCATAAAAACTAAAGTGTGGGAAATTTCATAAACCTCTGTCTGCGTAATTTTCGTAAAAAGCATTACAAAGTATTAGCTTCACGTATTGATGTATTCGTATTATTTGTCTCATCTCTGTTGAAGTACAGTCTCGAATGTGATGGCGAGATACGTATTGGCATAGTTTTAGAGTCGTTGGTGTGTTGTTGTTAAGCTATTCCTGCAAAACTCGCAAGGAAAGCTACAAAGTTGCTTTGCGTGGTTTAATGATAGGACTGGTTGGTATGGCGTGGTTTAATGGTAGGAGCTTTAAATATTTGCCTCATGTTAAGTGATTGCCGCCTTCGATAGAGAGATGCGTGATCTGTTTCGAACTTAAACCCGGTTACCTCACCAATCAGACAAACACAGAAGTATATAAGTAAGGGGTACTACCGAAAGCAGCCGGACAATTAACGCACCAATACAACAACAGTCGATTTGCACCACCGAAGTATATATAAACGTGGTGGTGATCGAATGATGGTGGGCAGGCTCGTCTGGGGACACCTTTTAAAACCTTTTAACTTTCGCATTTCATCCGGTAAGTGAGATAAACGGCACATTTTTAAAGCCCAATTTCCAAAAAGGTTGTCAACGCCTCTGCAAACCCTTAGGTGTAGCAGATGTCTATGGGCGGCGGTATTCACTTAACATCAGGTGAACCGTCTGCTCGTTTGGCAACTTTTCACATAAAAAAAAGGTTGCCAATGCATCAGCAACCCATCGGTTGTGATGTCCATGGCAACTCTTGGCAACTTTTCACATTAAAGAAACTGATTTTCGTCAATGCATTCAAAGTTAAGATCCCAATTCCTGTTAGGAAGACACTATAAAATGATCAGCAGGTTAATTACTACAAACACTCTCAGTCAGTCGTTCTGGATTAGTAATTTTTAATCGATCGTATTCTGCGCCCTAAATTGATAAATATTAGATTTCAGCACATATTTCGTAGCGATTGTCGATCTTACTCGTGTGCGA